CTTTCTCTGTAAAGTACTTAACAGTTAGGGGAAATTTTTCGATCTTTCCTCCTAGACATTCTACTAACTTATCGAGAACCATTCCCATATGCTGAAAGCTATCTAAGAACTGAAGCTGTTCAACATCCATTGCTTTACACTTTCCTATATTTTCTGGAATGCATTTTAGCTTATCAGCTGTAAACTTATTCATAACTTTCATGAGTGGATGAGAGTCATATCCCCAGAAATTATGGCAGATCAAAAGTACTTTTGTCTCAAATAATCCTATTCGTAACTTTTTGTTACAAGTATCATGAGCTGGATCTTGGTACTTCCCACTTATATGATCATGATCTTTTATCTTACAATTAAATCCACTTAAAGCTTCTTGGTATTCTTTTTGTATCTTTTTCTTTTCTGGGTGGTCTTCTCTCATGCTTGCTTCCCATTCGATGACTTCTAATAATCTGTGCTTAGCTTCTTCGAATTTTTGCAATGCTTCTGACAATGGCTTAAGAAAAGATTTTTTGCAAATCCAACATTCAGTTACTTCATTATATGCTTTAAGATCTCCAGGTGCCATAATAATTTCAGCTTGTGCAGATAAATCTTCTTGAATATTTAGAAGCTCTCCTTCGATTCTTTTAACGAATTTTTCTAAGGCATTTGACCCTTTATATAGATTATGACTTATGATTTCATAGTTAAATGAACTATCCATACGAATAACCGCATAGCAATATCCATATGGTTTATGCATCTGCAACCTCTCAGTAGAAGTTAATTTCATTTTCTCTTCTGGAGTTAGCTTTTCGGTTAATATTTCCAGATCCCAGAAAATGCGATATGGATTTGGTTGCATGCATTTATGATTATAGAAAGTTTTGATACTTCTATTCTTCACCGGCATTTGTGGTCGCTGAGGGGCGTTATTTAGACCCTTGAATTTTAGCAAATGTTCATTATATCTTATCTCTGAAGAGTATACATGAAGACAATAATGACAAATATATTTTCGACCTTTATGTTTACTATGATTATATACCAGCTTATATAAATCTTTGATAATGCAGTAATGACTTCTATCATCTTCTGTAATTATTAGAAGATTTATTTGCTTGTATTCATTCCCTCTTCTTTCTGAAACATAGCGAATTTCAAGACACTCATTCTGGTTGTGCCATTCATAGACACATAGACTAATTTCAGGGTTATTTTTTTCGAACTTTTTATAAACTGGTGTTAAGACCGGTACTGGAATTGGGATGTCATCCATGTTAAGTTCCCTCACATAAACTCCATATAGCCGATGTGGATTTCTTTCTGGATGAATTTTAACTGAATGCAAAACTCCTAAGATACACCATCCAAAATACCAGTCATCAATTATTTTGAATATTAATAATTCCATTATTACGTTTCAGCAAAGTTTCTGGTAAAGGTATATAGGCTGTAGGACCAATTGAATTGAAATCAGATATCTCTATACTAAATTCTTCTATATATTCAGGATAAGCATCAGACATTTGGTATATCGTTAACTCTTACCGTTGCACTATTACTTACTTATAAAACTTTTTTCTTTAATTAATTCCTATTCTTATCAAAATGATTGGTGAATATTCTTGCCCATATCTCTGCAATACTAGAAAGACTTGCAATGGTCCTTGCATTCGGCCTGAAGGGTGTCGGTTCCATTGGAAGGCTAAAAAATGTATACCTTGC